CCCCAAAACCCCAAAACCCCATAGAAATAAATCTGGTAATCTTGTTTAGAATTCTAAATTTCAAAATTTTTAAATAATTAAAATGGCTAATCTCTATTTAGGGTAACAGTATTAATAACTTCCTCCTTAAGCCTATTATCAATAATAGTAGTAACTTCCATAAGTGCAACCTCTACCACCTACATAATACACAGGTGTTGGATTGTATACTAGTTAACTTTAATAGAATTAATATCAACAATAGGCCAATAATTAGTACCCATAGATGCAAAATTAAGGGTATATGCCATAATAATAACAGTAGCAATTTTAGTAGTTTGCTCAGCAAAATCAAATTTACCAAAATTAGTACAATCCTTTCGCCGCATAATAAAATCCTTACTAATAACCATTAAATCAGCCTTTAATGAATTATCAATAGTAAATGCCTATGCATTCTGACCCTAATCTACTTTTGTCGCAAAATACTCCAAGTAATATTGATTTTGCGATTATTTTTAATTAGAGGAATTACTTCATTTTATGAAAGGAGTAGTTACTTAAACTACTGATTCTTTAAACGATAGAAATGCATTTGAAGATTACCTCACAAGATTTGAACAAGAGTATGATTCATATTTATTCAATTTTTACAGATATGTTATGAAGAATGCTTAAAGGGATAGAACACCATCACCTATGAGGAGAGTTAATTCAGAGAATACAATTAATAGATCTAGGTCAGCATCACCTCTCTACTCTAATGAATTCTAAAATCCAGCATACTAATAGCAACAACAACAGTAACAGCCATAGTTCAATCTTTCAAATTAAAATCAAGCAAATCTCTAGAACTTTATGCCTACTGCCACAGAGAAGTAAAGATTAATGTACATGGACCCTCATAGAAATTCTAATGGTCCATTAATGAATGAAAGAAGAAACGATCCTCTTAATTTTAGAGATATGAAATAATAAGTCGAAGTTCTGGGAGCATCAATGACTTATAGAGATTCACCTGCTAAAACAGCAGGAACTTTCTACGATTAAATTGATCCTAGAACCAGTAGAACTCATTTCAGTGGTCAGAGTAATGGCTAATACTAAATACCGACTTACTCGAGAAATTAAAATATGGCTAATCATCATAGTGTTCCAGAGGTAACTGACACAATTGGAACAATGAAAAAATCACTTCAATAATATGAAATTGCAAATATAAACTAAGATCCGTATGTGACTTATTAAATAAATAGAGAAAGATCAAAGTCTCCCATTTAGTAAAACAATCTAGGTCATAGATTTGATCAATCAATTTCAATAGAATAGGCGTAAAATATTCATAACAATTCAATGCCCTCTGTAAGTATTTACAAAAGAGATGAGCAAAGAATAAAAATGATGCAAATAATGAACTAGCCTTAACTTAAAACGACGCTTACCTCTTCATAATATATGAGAGAATTAAGAGAATAGAGTTTAAGATAGATTTAGAACTGGGAACATGTTTAAAAAGATTATGAGGAAAAAATAAGAAAACAACAAGAAGAACTCAAAGCATTGCAATTAGCTAAACCAGGAACTGCAACTAACCAATATGGCAGGTCAACTCTAACAACTACGTAATCAAGATATGGAGGTGGGGGTGGAAGTGGTCTATAGCCAACTATGTCAGCGAACTCATTTATGAAAGGATATTGAATGAATTTTAAGACTGATATGCATGATGATAAAAATACAAATGCCAATAATTTTCAAATCGCATCTATTGATTCAAAACTTCGTTACTATTAATCAAGGGGGTTTTGGGGTTTTGGGGTTTTGGGGTTTTGGGG